CCAACCATATATTCATGTTTAATGTTGCTTCTTCACTGCAGTTGGGCTAAACTAACATTTACACTAGGTCATTTAAGCTAAATATATTTCATTCCACCTTATTTGCTTTGTTCTGCCTACCTGAATAATCTTCTATTAACTTGAACATGTTGCCTACGCCAATTGTGCTTATCTTCGTTAATTTTATTGCATTTTTGAGTAACTTCTGGTTATTTTGTACTTATCGCGGATTCGTTGCTAATTAGCTTACTTCATATGCTAATTTAGGGAAAAGTTATGTCTGCATAGCCGTATTCTTTAACATATGTATTTCATTTGGTAATGTCATTTCAAGTGATTGGCTGTTGTTTGATATCCCTGGTTTGGCTGCGCTTGATGTGCATATTTACAAGGTGCCTACCTGTCTATTACCCACTACCTCGTCCATACTGGCTCCAGGACACAGTTGGTCGTTGCTGGAGGGGATGGGGTACAGGGTCCTTGTGGTCGTGCTGGGCTCAAAGAGTGGTTCCATGCACTCAGTGTGGAGCGGACTACGGTCCAGCCATCGCCTTGTGTGCGCTTGATTCGCCAATTACAGCGTACTTGTGTTTGCCTGTGAAGGATTATGGGCCGGTTCCTTTGATGAAACGTGGCTTCCATCCACATATCTCCCGGTCTTTTTCCTCCGGATTTACACTGGATATGGGGTATGTGGTTGGAGCTGTGGGTGATGCAGCGCAAGCCACCCATGGTCCCTCTGTAGGCGCAGGCGTCCTGTGGCTGGCCACAGTGACAGGCAAATCCGAAACCGGATGCCGCCACCCATATATTTCTCATTTGACGAAAAATCAGTTGGCAGCGTGCCACAACACATGCGTGCCAGCAACGAGAAGGGGAAATGACGCAATCAGGGGAAGCATTACATGTTTCATTCTTGTGTAGGTAAAGAGCTTCCCGGTTATCCAGACCGAAAACGAGGGTTGAGTTAACAGACTCCACTCCGCATGGTAGCGTGTTTTTACATACTGTAGACCTATTATGTTGAAATGTGTTCGTAACCGGTTTGAAATCCCTAATTTTAGAATCATTTGAACGCAAGCTAATACAACAAGTTTTGAATTTAAGCTGTAGGCTCTTCTTTGATTTCGTGCTCATTCCCATTCCTATTCGTTGGACCCTCTTTTATGTCCCTTGTTCGTCTCTGTCAACTTTCATCTGTACTGCATCGTAGGACCGACATAATACTCATACATTATTGTCGTTAGCCATTTGGTGTCATAAACAAAGCTAAAGTGATCAAGCCTTTCATCACAGGGTATACTCTCTACTGCCTACTTGTCAGTTGTTGTGCGAAGTATGTTGCTTCTAGTCATCACTTTGGTATGCGGATTCGTCGGGGTTGGACCCGAATCCAATGCATTTTCTTTGCGTTACCGATTGCTCACTTAAGAAATGAACTGTGTACTATGTTCTCAAACGCTCGAATGGATGGCACGTTCAGTTAACTGTTTTTGCTAAATCAGAGTTCTAATTTGCCCCCACTTGCTAAATATCCTTTTTATCCCCCATCACTTCTATTTTTGCGTGTCGTTTCAATGCGAAGATTAACATATCCCCGTGATCTCTCTCTGCCTCGAAGCCCAGTTTTTCTAAGATCCGTGATCAGCTTACAAATGCGGTTGAAAAGCCATTTAGCTACTCCTACTGATTATACATTATACCACGAATTCTTGGTAATACTTTAATACGAGCTCTTATATCGATGTACAATAATCTTTCATTCATCCTTTCTCCTTACTATCCCAGCACTTCGAGGGTCTTCAGCGATCGATGCATCAACTATCGCCTCGCAGTTACCCGCTCGGGTGCGGCTACTTCTACAACATCTACACCGGCACTCCTTGTGGAATCAATGGGATTCTGTACTAAACGGCCTCGGTTCACCAGCACCGAATAACTGTTTCAGTAGATTTGATGTCTCCAAGCTAATAGAAACCATTCTGTTAGTCTTGAATTCGTCCCGTTTGTGTCAGCATATACTCTGGATTTATTTTGTTTTTGGCTTTCATCATTGCTTTGTTTATGCTTAGGGGAGCGATTACTACATGCACTCCCCATTATTAGTGCTCATTATACAGATACAAACTCTGCATGTTCAGCGGTACTCAAACAAGCTCCGTCTTCTGGCCTTTCAAATTAAGGCTAAGATTGCGGCGTCGTTCCTTATCGTACGAATCTGTGCTTTCCTGACTCATCGTTGAATTCTCCTTGCCCTGGTACTGGGCTTACTGTTTGAATTTCTCGGTAGACAACTCACACTCAAATCATGGTACAAGTTCAAGAACACAAAATTGTGCCTACACCTGTCACCGGCAGTGTAATACAAAGCAGTGTCCTTTGGCCGCTACTGTCTCTAATATATGGTAACCATATTTATGACAGTAAAATTCGGCACGCCCTAGCCCTTTGCCGATGACATCAACATCGTATGCACTTTTCGTCCGGATGCCTCCAATGATGCCGTCAACATGATCCGACTCGATCTCCAGGCGCTTAAAACTTGGTTGTCAAAGTTGAAAATGTTTCTCTACTGACAAATGTTGTTCGCTGTCTCACACGTGCGATCTGCCTCAAGCGGTCTGACTCTTGACGGCAAACTACTTAATCTCTGTCCTCCGATACGAGACCTGGGATTGCGATAAACATACTCACTTGCCTTTTGTGAACAAGTAGGCAGTGTTGTATAGCAGTTCAAAGAAGCGTGACTGCATTACATTGGGACAAGTACAGAGAGCATTCATAAAGCGCCTTTTAGGTGTTTCGGAACTGCAATATTCTGAACGTTGTGATAAGCTTAAGCTCGATCGGCTCTGGCTCCGGCACATGAGTCACAACCTAATCATATTTTTTAACATATTGCACAGAAATATTCACGTTTCCCACCTCAGCATGGCATCAGTGCAATCGGTCGTCTGTAGCACACGATCTAAACGGAACTCAGTGGCGGAACGCAAGTCCAGGACCAGCAGGTCTGCGAACTTTTTTCTTAACTGGTGCACCAGAGTCCGGAACAAGTTACCTACCGGAATACGTGCGTACACTCTTGAACACAAATTTCACGAAAGCATCAACTAATTCTTGACTGTACAGAACGTGATCAAACTGTTTGCTTGTTCTATACCAACAAGCCAAGCGTACGAGCAGGGTCCAGGTTTTATATGACCCCTTACATGTTTCACCACCTTTCTTTATCCTATAAGTTGCTTTTTTATAACAACGTATGCGAGAGAGCGGGTACAGGCCAGCCAACATCAGTTCATTTCAGACGACCATTTATTATGGCTTTCTGATCCTTCCAAACGTCATTATCTGACCTGATTTTTCATTTTCCTGACCCACCTGTAATCTGCGTTGTATACAGGTGTGTACTTACTCGATCATGTTGATGCAGGCATATCTCGCATCATCGAGAATAAGAATAAGAATCATTTATTCCTAGATCTTAACCCTCTATCGATTTCACTGCCATCTGACCATACCCCTTTTGCAGTTTAGAGCTTGATGAACAATCTACTGTTTTGGAAGCAACTCTGTTCTCAGACCCTGCTGACTGGAAACGGTTTGTGTTTGCTGATGGTCTGGACTCGGTTGAACATTTGATGGCCTTCGACAAGTTGACTTCATTGCTGGAGAATCAGTCCAACGATTCGGCTTTTGGCTCCAATGGTCATACATCTAGCTCTCGTTCCGATATTGGGGACGGACAACTATCAGGTTAGCTGAAAATTCCTTACACTTTTGACGGAGTTTTATTTTTCCTCGCGCGTCTTATCATCCACTCTGGTTTTTTCCACCACCACTGGCCTCATGAACACGTGATCTTTGCTTGCTTTAGAGCGAACGATGCCGGAAAACCCATCTCGTTTCTTATATCTCTTCTCTGTCCCTAGGTTACTGTGAATGCTTTCTTTAAAATATCAGCACATGATCGCTCATCATATTCGTCCCCGTTTCATTTCCAATTTCGATGTCAAGTCAGCTGTCTTTATTCGCTTATCTGTACATTACGTCGTCGTTTTTCTAATCTTGAGGTATTTTGCCCTTTCGCACACATTGCAGCGTACTTTGCTTGCATCAACGATATCGAGTTTGTTGGTTACTCGGATAATCGGTATTGAGACTTGTGAGGTCAGAAGTACTCTCGCCGTTTGTGTAGTAATTCTACAATTGTCTCAATGAGTGCAGTGCAAACCATGTAGATCGACCTTAGCCTCATACATTCTCTGCAGGCAACCATCTTGGTGACCGCGGTCAGCTGCTCGCACTGAGAATGTGTTGTTCACACAGTTTGTGCTGACAAATTCTCTTTGTACTGACTGCGATCACTTTAGGTAGGTATAGTTCACTACAGTGTTTAGAACTGAAGGCAGGTAATATGTACTCGGATCGGTGCGTTTTCGACATGTAGCACTACCGACACGTTCGTCTGATGGTGGACTAAATTGGTTGCATCAGAAATGCGAAATGTTGCAATTGCAAGGACAAAAAGTAACAGTTGCACCGATTCCTTTGGAGGAAACAGCCATCCCATACGACGACTATACATTGTCGTCGGAATTTGTATCTTGTTGACGGGACAGCGTCTAAAACCAATTGACTGGCATTCCTTTTACAAACTGTTTCTTGATGCTTGTAACCAGCTATCTGGATAAATAAATAGAAGTATTTTCCAACAGGTGCGATACGTTCTCTTTTTAAAGGGGAGAGCGACCCTTTAGTGTAGCTCAACGAATTTATACATTTGCGCACTATATTGAAGGCTTTTCCAAAGGCCGATGAAACTGGACATGAAAAATAACTTACTCCCAGAATGTGTCACAAAGATACCGAAAAGGTACATAAGCAAATAGTGGATAATGTAAAGGTGATACTCCAGAGAAAATAGCAACGGCCGATTTAAAAGTCTTTCCAAAAGTCATATCAGGTCTGCCTAATAAGTAATGTTTTCAGGCCACAGTTTCGTTCTGAGAGGTATTCATCATTTTATACTGTTATGTCGCCAGCCGACTGTTCACGCACCAACAACCGTAGGAAGACACAAAGATGATCCAGGACTGAGTTCCGAGTCAATGTTTGGCCACTAAAAGAAACTCCGCGCAATGCTTTTCATTTGGTTGATTCCAGGATGACCTCGGTGAAATTACTGGAGAACTCTCTGACGAAGCTCTTTAGGAATGATAACTCTTTCGGCTAGAAGTAAACACCCATTAACGACTGAAAGCTGATCTGTCCTCCTGAACAAAAGTTGTAACTCACCAGCTAGATTGTCTCTCTGCCACTGAGTAGTATGGAATCCCGCGCAGACGCTTCACGAATCGTTTCGAACGTCACAGGAAAATTCCTAATGCTCTCCTTTAGTACCTGATTCACCTCCGATTCTAGGGAGATCGCTGCGATGATGGACTCTTTTTGTTGGTGATGCCGATCTTCCAGAAGTTGGGAAAGTGCATCCGCTTGGCCGATGTCTTTTGTAGCCATGTAGTTCACTACAAAATCATAACCGAGCAGAGACGTGGACCAACGCTGCAGTCTGTTCGCGGTATAAACAGGTATACCAGACTTCGAACTGAATATTGCTAGGAGCGACTTGTGGTCGGTAAGTAGGAAATGTCTTTATTGCAAGTACTATCACTAAAGCCTCCTTCTCGACCTGCCCGTAATTCCGTTCGGTTGGTGACTATAACCGGGATGCATGTGCAATCGCTTTTTCTGAATCGTCAGCGAACTTGTGGGAGATAACAGCCCTAATACCGTAGTTCGGAGCGTCTGCCGCCATTGCGATTTCAAGTGTAGGATGTTAATGTGTTAGCAAGAGGTCAGAACTCAGCATCCTCTTCACATCTTCAAAGTACTGACAATCTTCGGACCAGTGCCAGCGTTTGTCCTTGGTCAGTAGTTCATTAAGGGGTCCACGTACCCTGTGCATGTGATGCAGAAATTGGCTGTAGTGACTGATGAATTCTAAGAAGCACCTCAGCGTCAGGACTGTTTTAAGAGGGGGCATCTTCTTAATTGCGTCGATATTCGTTGGATCCGTGCGTCTACTATCTTTGTCGATTATGAAACCAAGGAAACTAATTGAGTCCATGAAACATGTGCATTTCTCGTGGTGCAGCCTTAATCCATACTCTTGTATACGATCAAGTACCTGGTTAAATCTTTTGTAGTGGTCCTCTGTATTTGCTCCGACGACAATGATGTCACCCAAATATGCGGCAGCACTGTCTACGCGTGTCAGCTTCGTATCCATGATTTGCTGAACTATTGCTGGCGCGGACTTGACCCCAGACGGAATTCGGTGGTATTGACACGATCCCCGATGCGTATTAATCATCAGTAATTCTTTTGAAAGCTCATCAACTTTTACTTGCAGGTACGCATCCGAGAAATCTTGCTTTGTAAACCAACGACCTTCCTTTATTTTCGAGAACAAATCATCTGGAGTCGGCAGACGTTACCGATGAGTTCAGTTGAGAAGTCGGCACATATTCGAATTTGGCCATTAGGCTTCTTAACTACCACGGTTGGAGCCGCCCAAGATGAATAGTTCACTTCATGAATAACCCCGGTTTTCTCTAAGCGATCTAGTTTCTAGTCAATAATTGGAAGTGCGGCGTAAGTTGCTGACTGATTTGCACGGAAGACCAGAACAACATCGGGTTTCAAGGACAATGAGGCTATTCTCTTCCCGCACTTATCGAGTCCCTCACGAAACACATCCGTATATTTCTCCCAGATGGGAATATATTGGAGATTTAAGCGTTTGATCCATTCTAACCCAAAAAAGTTCAAATTCATGTGACATGTGATGAAAATAGTTCCCCAAGTGGTTAAACCGGCAAAACGGCACTCGCATTCAGTCTGACCGATCTGATCCAACCTAATGCCTGATGCGCTCCTCGCTTGTTGTCCGGTCGGTTTAATGCCAGGTGCACCGACAGGTTTCCACAAGTTTTCCGTAATGACTCTGATGTCGGACGCCGTGTTAGTTTGCAAACGGGCCAGTCGTCCATTAATGCTGATAGTGACAAACTGGCTGACGTTTACCCTTCATGCAAACTTTCGGTGACCTTGTGTTTGGGCAGTGTATGGTGGCCGTAACAATGGTTTGGACCTGCAGTGGGTGTCCTTGTGTCCACGTCTGTGGCACTTCTGACAGATGTGCCTGCTGAAGGGACACCATTTCACGAAATACCGACCTGCGCATTGTCAGTAAGCAGATGGGGTTTAGCTTGGGGACATATCCCGTACTTATTTGCTGAAGTGTTACCTTTGGAAAATTGCTTTACAGTAATGTCACCAGTTTGCACCTTTGAATCCTCCACCACAGCTGTGTAGATTAGCAAATAGTGGATAATACAAACATGATATTCCAACGAAAATAGCAACGGTTAATTTAAAGGTCTTTCTCCAAGATTCATATCAGGTCCACTTCATAGGTAATGCTTTCAGGCCACAGCTTCGTTCTGAAAGGTGTTCATCATCTTATACCTTGGTACTTGAGTCAGCATTACGATGCACACATCTGTCGTCGCATCTGGGCAGCTTTTTCCTGCATCTGATTTATGTTACTCTCTTTCTTACCATTTCATGCGCAGAATCCATATCATTTTCAGAACTTGAACCTCTCTCTATAGACGACCACAGAAATCCCCGATTATCTCAATTGGACGTGGAACTGTTGTGTCAGGCTTTCTTTCAATCCTGTGGCACGCGTTTGGAATTCACCTTCGGTCTTCTTGTGCTAGCTACGCGTTACATGCTGAATCTTACAAGCTGTGGATCACTGTCGTCTGTCGGAGAGAATATCTCTTTCGCCAGTGTAGTCTGTCGTTTGACACAGTTGATGCGCAACCTAAGGCTGCTGCGCTGGTTGAGCTGTGTTCGAATGCCTCCTGTGTCAGATTCCAAGCAATTGTGAGCTTCCACCATTTTTGGTGACCCATTGTTTTACCACATATTGTATATTCATCCGTCTTTCGAAGGGATTTTGATCAAAATTCGTTTCAGCTCAGCTCAGTCCAGACATTCAGAATTAGCACACTAAAGCACATTTGTAGAAAATAGTTATGCGACTGCTACATACTTCAGTGCATGAGCCAAATTATCAACTTGGCGGATTAACTTTTGTAATTTGTTAGCTGTGTGAAATCACCTTTCCTTCTCCTTGGTTACATCATTTGTGTCAGCGTTTCTAGCAATGCAACCTAACACCTTAATCAGGAAAAAATCGCAACCGCGTCAAATCGATATTTTAGTTACTTTCTGCAGGCTATTTCCCACTCAATCGCCTGATCACCTGTCGGATTCGCCAGACCATTCATGCCTACGGTGAACACATGCACATGAATGCAAAATGATGATCATTTGTAGCGCGTGGCCCGGCGATTTTATGCTTTTGCCGGCTTATGGTATGCTTATCCGGAAAACATTTATTTCTAACTCCCAAACAACTTCCCACGAGACCAAGGGAGTGTCTACTGGAAGCTATCTCCTCTGTTCCTCACGATACATGGGTGACGCCATGATTGTTCCTTATCTGCTTTACTCCGGATGAATTTATCATAAACCACTTACCCCTCAGCCTTTTGTATAGTGGAAATTCGGTCGTGTGACTTGCAAGAATACACCGACATCCTCCTTCCCTTTGAGTCGTTTCCGCCCTCCTACATGTATTTCTAAGAAGCCTGACGCGTAACGCTGTATCTTTCGGCATGTGCTGGACACCTTCGGAGTGCATATCTGGACTAACTTACCTTATATTTCGGTAATTACCGAATTTCCACTAGAGTTGGTCGATCAGTTCACTTAACGTTATGATTGTATCCGATCTACTGTTCACGTCACTGTGGCTAATTCACGTATCAGTAAAACCTGTGCCTTTTCAGACTTGCAGTCGTCTGTAGAGATTTTTGTCATTCCCTAATCCGTTTGCGCTCTAAGTCATTTTTGCAATCATCTATGACTACTTATGAGTAGCAGGTTGGTTCGCCTCAGTAAGTCATAACTGCGACAATTTACGTGCCAATCCCGAGAAGTATCAGTCTATCATTTCACTCTATCATTTCGCCCTCTGCAAGTTTGCTAACTTTCATGGCAGCGGAGGGTAGGTTGCGCTATATCCCAGTTAGTTTGCAAGTTATGACGGTCTGTCACCGCCTCCGTGGCTCGGTGGCATAAGTTGCTGGCAAGTTGGCGCAAGCTGCCAGCGGTCACGGGTTCAGTTCCCCACAAGGGACCAAGGGAATGCACACCACTGACGAGCCCAGTAGGTCGAGACGATCATCTGGCACTTTTCCGGCCTTGTGTTTAGATTGTCGCGCTTGTGCGTTTCTGGGACAAACGACCGTCCATTACTGTAGTCCAGGCCACGCGATTCATGAAAGTGGGACCCACCGCAGTCTAGTGCTCGGATCATAGTTGTTGAACTGCGTCTGCTCGTGAATGTAGCAAGTAGCACCTCCATTTCAGGGGTGTGACTTCTGGGTTCTGCAGTGGCACGTTTCAGTACGGAAATTGCGAGCAGTATTTGTACGATTTTCAACCGCGTCAGCCTCAGGCATGCTGTCTCTTTTGTGATGACCGGTATGAAACCAATAAGTAGCAATTAGGCCCTTTCAAACTCAGCTCATAAAAATTTGTACTCTGCATCGATCGGGCCGGGCTTACAATCAGCCAACCACCCTCTGTGGCGAAACACTGAATGAACGGTTTCCCTAATTTTGTGAGCACAAATGATGGAATTTGTCTGGCGCAAACTTATGTATGTTGGTCTTGGACACTCGGATTACTTGAAATGTCTTCATTCTTATATTCGCTTCTGTGAAAATCTGTTTAGTTTTCACACATTGAAACTACAGTTTACGTATTATGCCGTGTGATCAGGTCACTTATTTACTGAATGAACAATTTTGGTTCTCTTTCTGCCTGTCGTATGGTCAGCGCTTTTGGGCTTTTTGTAAATGACAACAAAAAACTGCAGCACAGTAGCTGAGGTGTTTCCCACCTCTACCTAACGTGTATAATGGTGATGAATGATAATTGACAACGAATTATCCTTGTTTGCTGGCCGCAGTAATCATGCGCGTAAGTGTTTTTTGCGGTTTTGTCATTCATCTGCATAAATGTGTCTGAATCACTTCCTGTTAGTAGCGGTTTTGTGTCAAACTTTGATTTACCTTTTTTCACTGGTTGATTCCCAGTGACAGCGCATCACTCCACACTCTATGCTAACATTCATTTGCTAACCTTTTGTAATCGCAGCGCGACAACTTGTGAGCAACTGGCCATCCTCGGTTTTGGGCAGACTACTGGGATCGCCAAATTTCTCCCAGGGCCATTCAACTACCTTACTTCACAAATGGCTCATATCGCTGGTCTGACACTCCTCGAACAGTTGTGCATAGAGTTTCCTGACCTTCTGCTTACTACTTACGGTGGCGATGAACGGACCACAAACATGCCATGGATGTTCCAGTTTGTCACTTCAGCGGGTCGCCTTTATGCATCGCTAAACCCTTCCACGCGATCTGGAAAAGGCATGTTACGTGTGTTACGCCATCTGTTATCTGGCGGTCATGTAAGTCTTTGCATCGTCCTGATGCTTATCCCTTTAAATAGTCGCACGGGGTTAGGAAAGACGCGTTTCTGTCCATCTACCACCGGAGTTGTATAACCATCGTTGTGTTGGATGCCCTACAGTTAACCCCATCTTTGGTTGCCTCATTAATACCAGCGTTAGGTTTTTTTCTGCTTGTGGATGACATTTTAGCCATATACAATCATGGTACTTTACCCCATTAATAAACCTAGGTGTCGTTGATCGTTTTTTTCGCTCCAAAAGGCTGCCGAATTGCTAACTCTCGGAGGCTTTTTGTGCGTATCTACTCCGATGGGCTCGTTGGGCGGACAGCAACAGCATTCATCCCAAGATCTTATTGAGCTTCCATCAGGTAGCTGCTTCGGAGACTTCAGCGCCCTCTACTTGTGCATGGGACTGTCACATTTTTGGATGAGGTAAGTTCAATTCAGGCAGACGCCACTGGTCTACTTCCAGTGCTTTTCTTTGCCTTCTGTCATTCTTTGTCCATCTTTTCTCTCTAAAACATTGTATCCGCTCTTAGAACCTGCCCTGAATTTTTCTTACACGCCATTTTGCATCATGACCTGAACACCTTTCTCCTGCCAGCGAGACTTGTGTCGCGCATGCATTCGCACTATTCACTCCTGTATGCCACCGCTTGCCAGCTTCAAGTCCATATCAACTTTCCACTTTAACCTGGTTCATGCACTTCCCTTTCTTATTTCATAGCCAACCGAAGGTGGCCGAAGAATACTTCATCAAAGCCTCTATTTGGCTCAAAGATTATATTAGGTCGTCTCTGAATCTTGAGACAGAGGAGACCGATTTCCCCTTCGCTACATCCCAACATCCCTCTTTGTCGGATCTATTTTTGGGCTTTGTGTTTCCTGGCGAATTTAACAATTCATCACTATTTGGCCTCAGAGACCTAAAGGATGCCTCCACTGACCTGATTTGCCCTGAAGAAATTCAAGTCCGCTTCTTAATGAAAGTACGTTCCTTACGTTGCTTCAATCACTATTGGGTTTCCAATCGGTTTATCCTCTAGTCGCATTTGTCATCATTTGTAACTTGGTCTGTCACAATACATGATCGGCATAATGGCCAAAATGCCTCTTGTTCACTTTAAAACGCCGGCATCTCTTACCGACCATTCACTTCCAATAGCTGCTTGTGGACTTGGAATACTGCGAGATAGCTAACGCTTACGCAGATTCGAACTGAAGACCTATGGCTCACGGGCCAGACACTCGATCACCGACCGGCACTTTGCAACTGTACATAGGGTCTGGTATTCACCGATTTCCACTACTGCGACTTTCCTCTGCTCCGTCATCGCATTTGTCCATCCTTAGGCGATTGAACATGCTGCAACATGCTTGACGTTTACTTCCCAGCGACCCGACAGATCCAGCTAAGTTTAATACGAATGCCGACTAGGTGATTGTCCGTTATTTGTCAGCATCTCAGTTATTGATTCCAAGGGTTTGCAGCTGGTTGATTAGAGAGGTTGGGTATGTCGTACAACTCGGTCCTTCATGGACAAACGGTTCATTAGTGGAAAGCCGATAAATAGAACAATGCCGCATAGATCCTTCACACAGTTCGATGATTTTCCTGTATCTTATTCCTGCCAAGTAACCATCTCCGCGACGTGCCGGGGCTAGGGTCCGAAAGACAGATCGAACACGGTCCTGCTTTGGATTACACTGGTTGACATGGCGAAGAGCCCAATCTCATGTGACATTTTGTGTTGGGGAGTTTTCGCTTTGTCCCCCCCTCCCGTTTGTGTGTCCCCCTCCAACACACTCATAGCTGCTCACCACCTGGTGGGTAATATAATATTTAGCGTAATGTTACTTTTTAGTTTTATGTTCTATACTATTTTATGTCTGATCTTTTATTGTATTTCGGCACATTAGCTGAGGTGTGCTTCTCACCATCTGCTATCGTGAACATGTTGATGATGACGACGATAATCAGCAACACCACCAACAACGCAATTCCGTCAATGTTGCTACCAGTTTACTACTTTAAAAACAGTCGGTAACCCTCATCCGTTCAGCGGAGCTTGGCGCGGCCAATGACCGAGGCTGTTTGGTTCACATCTGATCGGCTACCTCGTAGGTCTCACTGGTATGCCTGCTCCATCCGATGCACTACTGCCATCACACTTCTTTTTTTGCCATTCTCTCCGCCTGTCCACACAGTATGCGTTTTACCGCTCCTTTTCGTCTTTGGTGGCTCTACTACTGTTAACCCGCTCACTGCGGAATTCCTCGTGTCTAGTCCACCTGGTCCCCTTCGATGTCCTCCTAACTGCACCCGGTTTCTTCTCATTATCTTTCCTCCAATATTAACTTTGTATAACCCTTGCATTACCTTCGCGATTTCAACGCCTATCTTCGATCGCTCGTGGATACAGGATGTCGGTTGAACTTACACTTCGTCTCTAAATATAAGTTTAGACAATACCTGGGCACCGTGGTCGTAGTGCCGCTTTTGATCTGTCATCCGTTTCTGCAAACGTCTTTGCAGTTGTTCATTTTGTGTCGAAACGGGGCGCAGAAGTGTTGCTGATGCAAACACCAAACTTTTCGTCCATCTACAGTATGTGCACTGTATTATATATATATATATATATATATATATATATATATATATATATATATGTATATATATTATATAACCAATGCTATTTCAGTGGTTTTTGCCGGCATTTGACGCCACTGAATTTCGAACACTTAACATACTTTACTTTTTTGTAATCTATATAATGTGTTTTGTAAGGAGAATCCAAACTTGCATTTATTATTTCATGATGAAGTTGCGAGCTTATTCAACTCTTAACGCAGGCCGGACTTTGAACATTCCTAGTTTAGACCAATATCCGGAGATGTAATACGGCCCTCCAAAAACACCAAATATGGGTCCTGTTCCGTGACTGGCCTTTTTTAGTAGCTTCTTGATTTGCTTTACGACGGACTATGATACGAGCTAGCTTGTCCTGGCATAAATTCCCACTTGCTTATGAAAGCATGGAAAGTAACTGGCTATTGCAGGCCGTTATCATAGATCTGCTCTTCCCCTACCCCGTGCTGGGCAATTGGATACTTGTGTTAGTTCATCACAACTTCCGTGGGTGTGTTGATTAGACCAATTTCGAAGTAATCAATGTGACAGTCATCCGTCATTGAGTAATCCTTCCGTTTTTACAAGGTTGTTCCATCACCGTTCTGCCTTGGTCGGTTTGACACATCACGTAGCAACGTTAGTTCTTTGGTGTAGCAAAGGAAATCGGAACGGTTAGCTTCGCATTTTGACACATAGTCCGGGATATGATTCATCATTCCTTGTCAGAACCTCATGCCACTTTCTCGGCTAACGCTGTATTTATATCCTAGGTGGGTGAGATGAGCGTGTTCCACTGTATCCCTGCGGAGCTAGATTCAGTTAGAATACGCTTTCCCTTTACTATCTGGCCGTCATGGATCGTGAGTACATCCCGGAAGGAGGAGTCAGTTCTTTTGGAAGCTAGTACTTCACCTCCGGCCTTTCTTTCTGGATCACGTCTCTCAAAGCTTTTTTCTGTGGACCACCTCTTTTCTCTTTGGCGTTCCTCTGTCAATGCGAAATGCTAGACCAGGTTCACTGCTCCCTGATTGTGTTCGGACGCCGGCAGATGCGCTCTTGACAGGGCGTTTGCAAGGAACATCCGTGTGCCTGGCATGTACACGATATCTAGCTCATATTACTGCAGTTGAATAAGCACACTTTGCATATGTTGTTGGCCGTTATGTAACGGTTTGCTGGCGATGAAAACAGGCGGTTTGTGGCCCATGTACGCAGTAGTCTTTTTTTACAACGGTGTAGTCATTAGAGGGTTCCATCGCATAAATCACCGTTGGCATCTTTTCAACTTTTACTTGCCGTTGCTGTGATCCCGGCTCCGAAATTCCAAGAATTTTCCATCCTCCATGAGGGTGTCACCCATTCCGCTCTGGTCGCGTCAGATCGTAGTAGCCGAGCACTGGCGCATTACTGAAGTAATTGACGGTTGTGAAATCAGTCTTTTGCTTTATTCTTGCTTGCCGAACAATCTCCTCGTGGTGCCAGCTGGGTGGTTTGGGATTTTCCCGTTCCAGCAAATGGTTCGGCGGCAGTGTTCCAGGACGTGGTGGGTTTTCGCCTGGCAAGCGTTCTCCCTATAAAAAGCCACATATGTCCGTTTAACAACACTGTGACGTGGCGGACGTGACTCGCCACTAAATAAAGTCACTGCCCCTTGCTTCATCCTGGCGAAGCATTGTATTCCAGCAACCTTATGCTGTACTTCTGGGGAGCATTGGGCCCCTGTTTGACAAAGGAACAAACGAAAGGCGTATGAACTGAGCAATCAGTCACCGGCTCCCAATGGGCGCGATTCCCTGAATTCGCTCCGCTGCCTTGCGGGCAGGCTATTCAGCCAAAGGCTCGGGGTGGTGTCCCCTAAGTCAACACCCTACTTCGGCTTGGGCAACCGGGTAGTATTTCGCCCTCTGAGGAAACCATGGACATTGTTGTGTTGTGTTTTATTTTACTGTTTCTGTACCTTCGTTTGAATCCCATGGTTTCTGATGGCATTATGTCTGTTAGCAGACTTTTGCAAATATATATATATATATATATATATATATATATATATATATATATATACCTAACACCTTTAGGTGTCGGTCTGCGGATTGGTGCCGTAAAGTCGACAAGCCTGGGCAACAAACGGCTCGAATAGTTGACCATACCGTTCAGACGACTGACTGCCTTCACATGTTTAGGAAGTGGCATCTCTTGTATCGCCTTAACCTTTAACGGATGGACTTGGATTCCTTTAGACATATAGATATACCGATTCTCGTTTCTGAGGCTCTACGTTCTCACACCCGTTTTATTTTTAACGCAACGCTGCAAGAAACGATGGAGCTTGACATCACATTGCTCTTTGGTTGAACTGTAAATCAACACGGTCGACTATGCAAGTTACACCGTCGAGACTATCAATCATCTTCAGCAATCGCTTCTGAAATAACTCATTCAAAATATTTAGACCAATTGTCCAACATAACCGCTTAACACGCTCGTAGCGGAAGTCGTCAGACGACTCGTCTGCTCATTTAGGATCACGTGCCAGAACGCTGACGATAGGTTTACCTTCATAAGCTATTTAGGTTTAGCTAGACGGGGTAGAACGTCTTGCACTGTAAGCATTGTCTACTGTTCTCTACACAGAGCCTCATTCAACGGTTTTGGATATATACACACTGGTTCATAGTGGTGCAACCATTTGACCCAATAATGGAACAGTAGTATGGTATGGGCAAAATAGCGGATACTTAGCAAGTCCCGTAGGATGGCCGAAAAGCGAACTACAACATGGTAAATAGAAAGCAAAGGGATGCAATGAAAATCGTTTTAAAGCACTGAGTTCCCTTTATCATTCTAAATAAGACAATGCGAAGACTTGCACTGCGAGATGGAACCATTTTGTGTTATCTGCTCACTCGCAAACTAAGAAAATAAATATGAATCATGTGACAGAAAAATCGGTTTGAAACTGATAACAAAGGAAAATTACGTAGACACATGAATAACAGATCAACGAGTTTTCTCTTAGGGTCATGAGCCCCAAGGAAGCTTTAGGGAGACTGTTAATTGTTTCTGTACACAAAGGATAGGGCGATGCCGGTCAAGCGCCACAGCTTCGGCGAACCTCATTACTCTGAGGTTTTTATTTCGATAGATAACTGTAAATGTTGACCCAGGGTCAACCTGATTGACTGTTTCAATGAGATCTCTGGTGATAGATGATGCATGCAACTTAGATACCTTTTCTTGTTCGGCTGCTTGTTGTGTCGATAGTTTAGCTATCCGTTTTGGGATATGCTCTCCAATGCGCCTACCCAAGAATCGATCTGTTCTGCCAATGTAACTACTTCCGCAGTTACAAACGAATTGGTAAATACAATGGGTTGTGGCGGAGAATTTGGCGGCATTGAATATCCGGCGAATCGCTGTATGCAAACGTCTTTCAAATTGGGCGGCCAGAATATCACCTTTAAAAAGGTACTTGAAGGTAGATAGGTAGTTTGAGCACAGTAAGTATCCTCGGCCTATTTTCCTTCAGTTGACTGTGGAATCGAATAAACGCCTCTGGATATCCGTTGGCCCGTAGCGTCCGTGTGATAAACAACAATTCCGATTCCAAACAGTCGTCACTGCATATTCTGCGGTCTCGATTAAACAGCATCTTGACTAAGCACCGCTTGTATTGGATAGGGGCGAAGCTGTTGAAGTGTTCATACAGTCCTGTCCATGTAGATTTCCTGTGAACAGAACGCTTTATGGAGCCGTCTTCTTGTCTGGTCAACAACACATCCAAAAACGGAAGGCAATTGGTATCCTCCAGTTCACATGTAAAATGGCGTTTGGATGTGCGTTATCGAGCACATTGAGAAGAGCTAGAACAGCATCACCAATTGGGGCGATCATTAGTGTGTCATTTACGTATCGCCTGTATAAACACATGTGGTTGATGTGCGTCTCACATCTCATTTCAGCCATCGTCATGAAGATGTCAACTAATACCGGGCCAAGCGGACTTCCCATGGCTACACCATCCACCTGTCGGTACGACTTGTCTTCAAATAAGAAATGCACATTTTCCGTGCATAGTAGCAGCAAATCCCTAAGATATTCCACGGGAATCGGTAACAGACTGAGCCTTGGGTAAGTGCATTGGAGAGCATATCCCAAAACGGATAGCTAAACTATCGACACAACAAGCAGCCGAACAAGAAAAGGTATCTAAGTTGCATGCATCATCTATCACCAGAGATCTCATTGAAACAGTCAATCAGGTTGACCCTGGGTCAACATTTACAGTTATCTATCGAAATGAAAACCCCAAAGTTTTGAGGTTTGCCGAAGCTGTGGCACTTCACCGGCATCGCCCTATCCTTTGTGTACAGAAACAATTAACAGTCTCCCTAAAGCTTCCTTGGGGCTCATGACCCTAAGAGAAAACTCGTTAATCTGTTATTCGTGTGTCTACGTAATTTTCCTTTGTTATCAGTTTCAAACCGATTTTTCTGTCACATGATTCATATTTATTTTCTTAGTTTGCGAGTGAGCAGATAACACAAAATGGTTCCATCTCGCAGTGCCAGTCTTCTCATTGCCTTAGTTAGAAAATCGTTTTGGTGGACTCACCACGGTGTTAACACAGAGTCACGCAGAAAGAGCCAACCGCAGTTTTGTAGGTTCATTTTGGGTGTGCAACGTTCGTCGCATTATATCGTCTGTCGAGACACACAGGTTATATTTCGTAGTGTAGGTGGGTTAGGGCAACCTCAAGGCGTTTTTTAAACACAGGTAAAGTGGAGGCAGAAACAATGTAATTTGGGAGGGCGTCCCAAGACTGACACACACGAAGGGAGTAAAAGTTCCGTCGACATTGTAGCTGGCTGTATTGCGTGGCTAACTTGAACTGGGGGCCACTGGAATTCGTGTTGTGGCTCAGTTGTAGTAGGTGACGGCAGAAGTGGTTGGGGTTCCTTAGAATCTGGTAGGCCATAATAAGGTCGCCACCTAGGAGCCGGTACCGGCCGCTGTATACTTTTAGGATCCTCAGTCTAAGTTGATAAGGAAGATTGAACAACCTTTTAACGTGCTTCCTGGCTCATCACTGTGGAGTCTCGAGCGCTGCAAGGTTTTGTTTGTGCCAGGGCTGCCACACCTGGATTACGTATTCCACATAAGGCTGCACGTAGGTGTTAAGCAACTGCGAACAGATAGAGGAATCAAACCCCCAAATGCCCTTCACAGCATGCCAACGTATTGGTTCCCGGTCTTTGACGCCTCAGATTGTTCTGAGCAGCCTAGACTAATATCCCAAGGCCGCCCTCCTCGGTGACTGCTTGCAAGACATGGTCTCCAAGCTTGTATGTGATGTTCGGCTGGTGGCGAATGTAAACCACTTTACACTTCCCCGAATTGAACTGGAGCAGATTGTGGAGTGACCACCCATACGCTCTGTCCAAGTTTCTGAAGTGCATCGTGATCTGCTGGGTCGGCGATCGTCCGCCACATCTTGACATCATCAGCGAACAGCAAGAGATCTGATGCAATCAAACACGTAAGCTCGCTAATGAACACGAGAAACAGACGCAGCCTCAGAACTGATCCTTGTGGAACTTCACATTCGACATAAATCGGATCGAACAGCGCACTTCGAACTTTCACCTGCAGTTAAAGATCCTGCAGGAAATTTCTGATCCACCCAAGGACCTGATCCCCATCTCCTTAGCTTTCGAGCCTGTGAAGCAAAATGCGGGGGTCCGGTCGGTCGAAGGCTTTGGAGAAGTCGAGGTAGATGACCTCTGTCCCTCTGCCTGTATCAGCCGCTTCCGTCCAACTGCGTGCAACCAGTAGATTGGTAGTGCATAAACGGTGCTGGCGGAAACCGTGTTGTTCGGACGCTATGATGTGACGTTCTAGATGGTCTGCTAAAGCCTCAGCGATGATTGCTTCCATCACCTTTGAAAGCGCAGGGAGGAGGACCACTGGGCGATAGTTGGCGGGTTCTGAGCGATTACCGCTTTTGAACATTGGAGTGATTAAACCATGTTTCCACATGGTATGCGCAATTTGTTTGTCCAAGCATGTTTGGAAGAAATTCGATAATGGCCCGGACAGCGTTGTTGCTGCTACGTTCAGTGCCCTTGGGTGAATATAGTCGATCCCGGGAGAGTTGTAGGTGCTAGTGAGAGCAGTTTCTTCAACACAGCTGTGGCAGTAAAATCAATGTTAGTGAGTGTTGAAGTTGGGGCCAGTGATATGGGTAAGTAACAGGGGCCGACCTCTTGTTGAAAGGTTTAGACATACTGCATTCGTAGGGCGTTGGCTGCCTCTTCGGCCCTCTGTGGCAATCCGACTGGCGTATTAAGTGGGCGGGTACCGAACTTCACTTTCCGGCTGTTGTTGACATGCTTGTTTAAGAGCTTTTTGTTTTTGACACATTTACAGTCCAAATGTTGTTAGTCAGTCAATTTGGCCTCACGGACAAGCATGCTACAGTGGTTGCGCTGGGTCGCGTAATCGCTCCAGGCTTCTGGACTAGTACGAGCTCTGTAACTGTGCTATGCTGTATTCCTTATTGACGTACGCTTGCAGGTTATGCTTCTGATGAAAGATGAGGGATTGGTAGAGGGAACCCTCATCGTTTCTGAAGCAGTTGCGATTAGATTGCTGAAGCGTCCAACCAACTGAATCTAGGCATTGTCAGGTGAGCCACCTTCCAAGAACTCCCAATCGGTCGTCTCAGCTAGGTTGTTCGAGATGCTGTAATGTGTGATAGTACTTGTTATTTCTGTGTGTCCCTCCGGATATTCAGCGTAACACACATAGTTATAAAGTATGGTGACATGATCGTTTAACCCTATTGGGGTGTCTACAAATGGCCTGTCGACCATGAGTTCCTCATTTGTAAGTACAAGGTCAAGTACCGATGGTTTGTTATCAGCTCTGTACCTGGTAGGTGCGCTGATGTTATTGTAGAGCGGGATACGTGCGATAAGGTCTTGCAGTTCGGCTTTGTGTGTTTCGCTGGGGATGTCGAGGCTTCCAAGTCTTGCACGTTGAAATCGCTGGAGATAAGAATGTGGCTGTAAGTTGGGAGTAAGCATTTCGTCATTGATGATATTAGGTAAGAATCCGTCTCTGGAGTGAATGATGGGGAGCCATATACGGCTGCCACGAAGCAGTTGTTGATATGTGTGAGACGCAAACGGCATCAGAGCGAGTCGATGACCCGCGTCTCCGGATCATCCAGTGGTTCGCATTGCAAGTCGTTGCGATAGTATAGGTTAACACCACCTCCCCTGCTTGGACTATCGTGTCGGAACAAGGACATACCCTGGGTCGCAATCTCGGCATCCGTAATCCCTGAGTGTAACCAAGTCTCGCTTATGGAGATGAGATCCCAAGCGTTTGTTGCCTGGCGCAACCGAAGCTCGGCGATTTTGCTGAGGAGGCCTTGGGCATTCGTGTACATGCAAGAAAGTGTTTCGCTTGTCGGCAATTATTTGAGGCACTTGTGGCTAGAATGAGAGGTTGTGCCGACTGTTGTGTGGTTGGCCGCTAGCCGTTTTTTGTGCTATTATCGGCGAGTTGGGTTCGGTGGCATTGTGATTAACGCCTCTGACAACTCAATTTGCACAATACATGAAAATTGGCTGCAGGATTGCACAGCAAGGTCCTCACTTCCTTCAGACTTGCTTCCGATGTGAATTTGGATAAAACCATAACAACATTCCGTTTCTACGTCAACCAGTTTCGTTTTATTCGTACTTTTTCCCTTTTCAAAACTCGTCATTAGCTCAGAGGTGAAGTTCCGCATCGTGACATCAGCTCACTCTTTCTTTGATCGCCAGCTTCTGTCCCGTCCATCATGTTCAAGCACCATTTCCCCCAGCCAAACACATTTCTGAAGGCCGTTTTGTCAACACTGTTCCCCCTTTCCTCTTTTACTAGATCATGCCAGTGTTGGAGGCAGCAGGTTGCATCGAACAGGTACTCCATCTAAGTGAATTGTCCCTAAACGTTTTGGCGAGCGTTCATAAACTCTCCGAAGCAAACGAGTGTGATTCCGGTGCCAAGAACAACACAGAGGCGCACCGATTGGCAGCCATTTTCGACAACAATTTCGCTCCTCCAGAAGGGCCCGGTGAAGGATTTTTGTGTAACCCTGAGTCTATTGATAGTAAGCTACCTAACATTGATATCTTTGCCAAATGCCATAACGGCAGATAATTTTTCCGCTCAGGTACAGGGTGTATTAATTACGTTCCCATATTCGCCAGGATTTACCCAGCATCTGAAATGCTCGCCACGTCACAATTGCAAAGGTATCTGGACGATACCGAAAAACTAGTGGCATCGTCAAACTGGGCGATCAAAAGTTAGGAGAAAAAGAACACGTCCAAAAGTAAGAAGACGAAAACTGGCAGATTCATGCATTGATTCAAGTACTGAGGCCACAATACGCAGTGCATGCATCTACCAGCTTTCGCCTTTTTACCGCACTTTTCAAATGCAAGAATGCCACTGACAGGGTGACTACGAGGATCTCGTCGGGGAAAATGATGCGTAACAACCCAACGCATTCCTTCTGTAAGCTATTCAGTGCACTCTTCGGGTTTCCACTTGAACAAACACAGGTGAGCAATAAGAGCAGACACAATGGGTTATAAAATATGATTGAATCAGTGTGGGCGATGCTCATTCAGCACTCACAATAGATACTGGTAAAACTCTGCAGCTATCAGTAGTCACAAAAGGGTCAATTACCTTGTCCCCAGTGTGTAGTACCACAGTCGTTGAGTTACATAGCAACACTGAGCGCAATAAGGTACGACAAGTCCTTCATATGTTCAGTGTGACATCCATAAATGACTGAGACAATGAGAAGCAACGCGAGCCTTGGCAAGGTGGACAGCAACAGCTTCACGTACACAGTGAGTAAAGAAGTTAAAGTGACCTACGAAAGAATAAATAAATGGTACATATGTCGACTGGCCGAGACACGAAGGTGAACATGTTCGACCAAAATACGCAACAGGTACAAGAATTTTTAAAATGGAACTATTTGTAAAATAAATAGGGCGTGGAAATATAAATGCTCGGCAACCAACCTCAGCAATGTACAAAGCTTTTGTTCGTACGCCGTCAACGTCACGCAAACATTGCATGATAGGAATTCAAAAGTGGAATATTGCGTGAAATCAGAGAGTCATGGTAAACGAGGTCATTTGGAATGCCAACGTCCATATCGTCGCCATACAGGTCACGTCTTCTGAAACAATATTTAATCGAAACATGATATTTTACTTCCGGAACGGATCCACATATTCACTCTATTATTTAATTCGACGATTGCCCAACAAAAATGAAAATAGAACAGGAGAAAAGTATTAGAGTGTATTCTATTATCAAACTACATTGCAAGAAGCGAGCACAAAATTTTCGATTTTTTGTGATTGGTAGTATATTCATTTTGTATCCATCTTGGGCGCACCCAGGTAGTTTCCTTCGGTGACGATTATTAGATATTAAGTTTCTTGTCAACTTTTTCTTCTGTCGTAATGGACTATAAAATTTCTTTTCATTTCGACATTGCGAGTTTCGCATGCACTTACAAAACAGTTCCTCGCAAACTACCGAGCAAGTAGTCAACTTGTGCCTGCCAATTAATTATAATGTTATTAATTTCTCCTAATTTATTTTTTCTTTGCTTATTCTTAAAATCTGAATCAGCGGGCTGATGTATAGACTTAAGTTATAATAAATGTGTGAGAAATTGATGCACTCATTAATGGTTTCTTATGGCAATACAAGTATATGTAAGATCTGTGTTATTTCAATTCAGATAATTGAGGCATGAACGTTAGTGAAATGACTTGAAAAAGTTGTCTTCTGAGTCACACGCAAGCGCCTAACGTTTTCAATGTAGAGAAAATTTGACACACCCCTCTGGAATTGTAATGGATGCGTGCATTCCCTAAGCGTCGAGGGTAATTTATTCCAAGGGTTTATACAAAACACCAGGAAGGAGCGTGTGCGCGGATTTTTTCCGGCTCTCAAGAGTATAATCGTACTATGCTTATTTCGTAGGTTGAATTTTGACCTGGTACTCAGCTGCAAACGTGAGAATGCACTATATGCCCGTTCGTAAACCATTTTATGTTATAACCAAAGGTTCACGCGCCTCAACCAAAAGGAGTCGAACCTCGAGATGAATGCATCGCTCTGTATACGTCATAAACTGAGTTCCATTAAGATGCCTCTTGGTCATGCTCCTCTAAGCTTTTTCCAGCAAGATCCGGTCAGACATCCTTAAGCTGTTTCATATGAAGATGCAATATTCCATTTGCTGATGAATGCACATTCTGTAGAGTTCTACTCTTGCTTCAGCAGTGTGGATGTACCGGCTTCTGTGACAGGCTAACAGGCTACATTAAAACGTATTTTCGGTGAAATTAGGGGTATTGGAATAACGTAGCCCCAGATCCTTCGTTGAATTGCTCGTTTTGATGAGGGTGTTATTAATGGTTAAAGCACCAGCAGGTTTAGTACGTTTGTGAACAGTTACCCTTGACTTTTCGGCTGAAAACAGCATCTACGTTTTTGACACCATGCTTCCAAATCGGCTAAATCCTCACTGATTCAGTTACTAGGTCAGTTGCTTGATTGCTATGGATGATTTTCGCATCATCCTTTAGTAGGAAGGGGCGACAGTGCAGTAACTCATCACAGAGATCGTCTACCTGCATTAGGAAAAATGCGGGCCTAGCACACTGCCTTGAACAACGCCACTTGCAAATTCTGTGGCAGTTGATTCAACCCCACTTATTTTAACAGACTGCGCACTTTGAATAAGATAGAAGTGAAGCCAATTTAGCAGAGTATCTCGTATGCAATCCGTTCGAACCTTATTCATTTAGACGCCGATGAGGAGCTCAATCAAATGCTTTTTACATATCACGGTACAACATTATTATCGCCATGCCTCGATGACAAGGTCGAAAAAGTGTAGTTATCATGTAGGACAGGATCGTGCTGTAAGGAACCCATGCTGAAACTTATGAATAGCCCATTCCCTGTATAGATCATCTTAAATTACCCGGTTTCACTAGTTTCTCCATTTCGTGGGACCTACTAGAGGAAGAAGGTGGCAACTGCATCTGACTGTACATCGGTGATAGTATCTAATCAAACAACGGGTGCTAGGATATAACCCATAATGTCGTTGTACAAATCAAAACCCCTGGGAACCCAATGGATATCTCGCTGTCCGAAACTGAGAAGCACATCACGGTCGGAGAAGAAATCACCATGTGGCATTCACGGATAAACCCCAGTAATGCGGAAGTAAAGCACATAATTGAAGACAGACCATAAGGAGGAATTTAACCAGCGACCTACAAGGAAGCAGGAAGCAAATAAAAAGCAACATAATGAAGTACACTTCCAACAAAAAGAAAGAAGAGCAAGTCGGCCGCTACTACGACTGAAAACACGGAGATAACGCATAAAAGCGATATGCGCAAAATGATGGAACCGGTGTAGGCATCTAAATCACGATAACAAACCGGGGTGCAGCACACGAACCACTAATCACCAGCGAAGAAATCCTGACAAACGACAAAGGACAAGCACGAAAACCTATGAATGCATCCCCTATGTACAAATGTTAGGCCATCCTCCCACCAACAGGCGCCAAATGCTTAAGGGTGCCGGATAAACGTCACTACAAATATCACTTTAAACTGCAGTGTATCCCAGTCCGATTTCGCAGGTGGCTTGTCCTGACCTTTCCTTGGCGTCCGCAACCGAGAAGCATGTCGTGCTACACAACACAATAGTGTTTAACATCCCTAACGAACTCTTTATTGAGACGTTCAAACTGACCTTAGCGGACATCTCTGGAATCGATGCACAAACGCTGGAAGCTAACCGGCTTCAAAAGCTAATCCGTTGATACCCAGCTCCCATTAGCTTGAGCTCAAGTGACCAACTAGTGCTGTGCATTGCGATGGCCAGTTATTAACAAATTCGCCTAGCTATCCTTTTCAAACTGATCTACTTTGCGCCACCAATCTGAACGATTACCACCGATCTGATCGTCTCCTCTTCCTCACCTCCTCTTTATCATACGGGATTGTCATTTGGCCTTTGCCCTCACTATCCTGACGTTTTTCTTCACGGTAATTCTTCATTTCATTCTCACTCCTGATCCTTTTGCGTTCCTTTTCTATCTCAGGGTGTGTCTCCGGGTGGGACACAACCTGCCCACTCCTTTGTAGATATCGTGGTTCTCGATAGGCTTTCCGTATCTACTTTTGCCCAGCCCTCCTCTGCTTTCGCAGGTGCATCACCTGTCAGTGCGTTCTTTGCCTCGTCCTTGGGGCTCAGAGACCAAAACTACACATTGTCACACATAATCATTAATACTAGACCGCTAAACAACACGATGCACATCTTCCGCCTTCTGGCAACGATGTCAGAACCAGATGTGGTTTTCAGCACTGAGACCTGGTTCACACCATGGAATTGCGATGATTCCTTCTCCCTCTATGCATACCGTCTCTTTTCGCGAAGTGGGTGCGTTATTGTCTTTCAGGCTCAAAGCTTCAATACGGTCGTAGATTCAGTTTGGGTTACTGCCAAAGTTCATGGGCTGTGGTTACTGCTTTTGGCTAAGTCTATAGCGTGCGTGATAGCTCTTACAGAAACGCTAACGCGCTTTTGAAGGAGGCCTGACTCCCGGTATTATTGGCCGTATACTTGTTACGTCAAACTGATCAATGTTCAGTGTTTGCTTAATCGTAGTTAACGGCTCGCCGACCACAGGTTCCGTTTCTCGACAACGTGACTCTTTAAAATAGGAGTTAAACGGTACGCACTTCATTCATGGGTCACTGGTAGTACTGTTACCTCTAGCTATTAAACTACTTATCTTAGGAGCCTCTCAAGGTTCTACGGCGCAGCAGCCCACTGAGTGCACCTCATTTACTCTCGCCCTCGCGCGTTTTTCACAGATCTGATGTTGCCGCTTTCGGTTTGATAATTTTAAGACCAAGTCATTCGCCCTCATTGCATAGGTGCAATTGTAAGTGCCACTGTGTTTTCTTTGCAGCTTTCCTACTTTTAGGTGTTCGAATGTAAACTCTGTGCCTTGGAGATTCTCCAGTTATAGGGAGT